TGGGGCCTATGTGCGGTCCCTGCCCATTCCTGTGGAGCTGTTCCCTGCTCTGCTTCCTGGCTACCATGAACTAAGCAGCATTGCCTTGCCACTTCCTTCTGCCGAGATGTTCCTGCCATGGAGCCAGCTGACCATGGACTGAAATCCCAGGCAAACTAAAGATCTCCACTTTCAAGGTACGGGTATCCTGTATTCTGTCCCAGCAATGAGAAAGCTAATACATCACCTGAAAGCAGAACTGCAAAAACACATGAAGCAAAGCTCATAGAGTTGAAAGGCTACATTGGCAAATCCACATCAGAGATTTCACTGCCCTCACAATACTCACTGGAGCTTGTAGGTAGAAGGGTGTGGGTTTATGGTAGCCTTGAATAACACTATTAACCCACTTAGTCGGATTGATGGTCATTAACATTCCAACGATAGCAGCACACTCTTCTCAGACCTTTGAGCAACATTTACCAAGCCAGGGCCCACTGTGGGACAAAAAGTAGGTCCTAATACATATGAGAGGATTTAAGCCATACCTTCTGCTACCACTATGGAGTTAATTCAGAAATTGGTAATGTAAGGTTAAGAGGAAAACATCCAACCTCTTGGAAATTAAACAACATACTTCTAAATTTGCCGTGTGTTAAAGAGAATGTTCTAGGAAAAACATCTAAAATTTTTGAACTGACTGAACAAAAATGAATGTCAAAATTTGCAAGAGGCTGGCAAATCAGTGCTTAGCGGGAAATGCATAGCATTAAATGCTTAAATTAGAGAAAAAAGGCTCAGGTCTATAAGCAGAGGGAAGAAAGAATCTAATACTAGAATGAAATTGAAAAAAAAGAGTCTTGGAAAAATCAATGAAAAAAAAAGGCTACATTAAAAAAAAAATACCAGTAAGTTGATCAACTTTTAGCAAGACTGATGAAGCCAGTAAGGGAAAAAAATCCAACTTAGCCACATCAGGGGTGACAGAAGGGCTGTTGTAGAGCACACAAATTATTATTATTATTTTTTTGGTACCAGGGATCGAACTCAGGTCCTTGCGCTTGCAAGGCAGGCAGCGGAACCACTGAGCTAAATCCCCGGCCCACACACAGATATTTTTAAAATTAATTTATGGGTACATTTTAGGTAAACAATATAATGACATTCATCATTGGAAATTTGTACCTTTACATAGTCTCTCTTGGTTCTTATTTTTTCCCCCTTCCCCTGCCCTCCCTTCAACCTCTCTACCCCTCCCTATGTACAAAGACTTTGTTTCATTTTTCTCATGTTCTCATATTAATTCCATTCCCTTCTTTCCTTTCCCCTAGCCCTCTCACTTCCCCTTCCCCTTTGCCTCTTTCCTTCCTATTTCACATTATCTATTATACCTTTTAGTCCTTATTTACACTTTCAGTTTCCCAAACTAGAGAAACTATTTGGTATTTACGCATGTGTCCTATTTATTTCACTTAAGAGTATGGCCGCAATGTGCATCCATTTAGCTAATTTCTAATTAATTTCTCATTCTTTATGCCCGAGTAGTACTCCATTTTATTTTTTACAAAATCCCACATCTTCTTTATCCAGTCACCAGTTGATGGGCAATTGGACTGTTTCCAGGTTTTAGCTATTACAAACTGTGCTGCTATGAACATGGGTGCACATACATTGCTGTAGAGCACACAGATATTAAAGGGTGTGGGGGGATCCCTCACATAGGGTAAGCAGCTCTTGGCACACAAACTGGACAGCTTAGAGCAGGGGATGCTGTGTGATGGGCACAGACATCCTCTCTCCTCCCACACCCATGCCCAGGCTTCTGTCAGGTAGTGTGTCTGCCTTTACTTGCCTGCTGAAGATTGGGTGGGCCCAGCTTTGGGATGATCTGAACATTGATTCTACCTGGATGTCACAATCACTTGCCTTGAGGTGTGAGGGGAAGGTGAAGCAGAATTCGGGAGACAAAGAAAAGTGTTTTGCTGAGACTTTGGCACAACTTGCTCCCGCTGTTGCCAGGAGGCCGGCAGAGATCTGGAGATAGAGCCAACTCAGGGAAGCAAAGATGAAGACAGGGGCAGCCTCAAGGTCGACGTGAAGTGCAGCCCAGCCTCAGACTTCTCCACCACGTGAGTCAGCACAGCACCTCCTTTCATCTGTCCCGTCACTGTCTTTCTTTTCCTTTGCTTTTTCATTGCACCAGTTTGGGATTTTCAGTTAATAACAACCAGCAGAATCTAAGAGATAGACTAACCCATGCTTCGTTGGGTTTTGTTGCATACATAAGCCTGGGTATTGGTATAGGGTGCCATTATTTTCCACCTTTTGGGGTTAGATTACATTCATATGGCATCTCCCATAGCGGCTTACTTCTGCTATTTTTATAGATAAAAGGATGCACAACCTTTTAAAAGAGTGGGATCTATTTTCCATCTTGCTTCAAATCAGAACAAAGATCTAAAACCAGAAAGCAGTGGAGATCCTGGGCCAAAAGTGAAGCTGGGCCTCCATGAGCCCTTGTGAACTTGCCACCCTCCCTGGTCCCCACTTGTTAAGGTTTGTGTTTAGATGGATCCCCCACCAACCCCCGTGAAGTCATAGGCTTTTGCAGAGGTGGGTAAATCTAGAGTGTGTGATGCTTGGATTAAGGGCGTGTGATTACTAAACCAGTATAATAATTGGTTTGGCACCGCCCTAATCCTGGTAGTCTGGATAAGATAAAAGAGGAGGAAAGATGCTGTTAAGGTCCCTTGTTGCTTTTGCTACAGTTCGAGTGTCATGAACAGTTTCTCTTCTGTGACGCCCCTCTGCCATGTGCCACTCTGCCTTGGAGGCAGCTGATTTTGAATTGAAACCTCCACAAACTGTGAGCTATTAAACCCTTTCCCCTTTAACTTTGAGTGTTGGGTGTTTTGTCTCAGCAACGAAAGGAAAGTAGCTAATACACCACTTCTAAGTGCAGCACCTGGAGGAACCTTAGCGTAGGTGGAACACAGTGTCTGAATCACTGCTTTGTTGATTATCATCCAAACTAGGTCAATTTTGAGAATAAAAGAAGGTATCTTTAATAAGTGTATTCTGGAGAAAAGTCTTAAACAGGGACATCTCAGGAAGATGGGGCACATGGTCATTTTCATTCTGAACCATTCGGTTGAATGACAGGAGAAGATGGTTAAGTCAGAGAAATGGGTACCATCCTTACTTCCACCACCTACTACTATGCATCCTGAACAAGTTACTCAACCTCTCTGAGCTGGAGATTTGGAAAGAATAGCAATTAGTTCATCTCTCGTGGTGATTGTGGGATTGTATTTAGGAAAGTGCTTTCTCAAACATTAGGCACAATGAGACTGATGGTTTTTATTATACTAACTAACTGATATAATTATGTTGACTGCAAGGATGTGGGTCCACTTAATTTTACACAATGGAGGAGTTCTCAGAAAACAAGTTGAGTATGAATAGGAGTTTTGTAAGCTGCCTCTTAAAAAGCTCACATTAAACAAGCTTCTCTGAGAATTCTCCTATAAAGTGAAGAATGTGTTTATTTTTTTGAGACTAGAAAATCATCCCACACTTACATCTTGTATCTCAGGAGTTGCTTTTAAGCAAAACCCATCACGGTTGCCCTTAAGGTGTCTCCCCAGCTAGACACAAACAGGTGAGGTTACCTGGTGGAGGTTCCACCAGGGCTGGGGTTCGGAGGAGGGAGTCCAGCGTCAGCCTTTTGGGGCTCAATATGGACATAAAGGAAACACATTTAAAACAAAACTTGAATTCTTGGAAAGCAGTGCCCCATGGGTTTAATTTAGTTCACATTATGCCTTGGAAGCCTCAGGGTCTAATGCATAGGGGACACAGCTGTGGGGGCTGAACTGGCCACAACCCCTTCCCCAAGGGTCCCCTGTCCCTGTCCCTGCACCCTCCTGCCTGCCCTGTCCTTCCCGTGGACACAGAAAGCCCTGCTCAGCACAGCCCCATGATGCCTCCTTCTGAATCTGCGCAGCCATCTGGGACAACTTAGCTGTTGTCGTCAGGGCCTTTGAAGCTTGATTATAGAGACCAGGAAACTTCAGCACCGCAGAGTGGGCCATCCTGGTGGGGACATCAGGACAATCGCTTTTCTCTCCTGCTTTTTTCATTACACGTATTTTTGATCATCTTCACATAGGTCTGAATGCTGGTAATGGAATGGATCGTAGGCTCCTTGCTCTTGAAAGGGACTCCCCATCCCCATTTCCCAGCCCTGGTTTTGAGAAGATAAAATGCATTCCAGCCTGTCACCCCCATTGTGCTCACTGATTTCCAAAGATTCTAAAATTTCAAAGCATGAATCAAAATATAAATCTGATAACATAATCTTCCCATCTCTTTGACTTTGCGTCCCACCTCCCAAAACTTAATTCTTAATAAATAGTCATGAAAGTAAATAAGGATTGTTTTCAATGGTAAAAACTTTGCTAATAGCAGATTAATTTTGAAAAATCATTGACATAGTTTAATCCTGCTGAAATGTTGTATTTAAATGGAACCAAATCTATACTGTGCTAAGTGTATATAGAGAAGGTAGCTAAATTACAAAGTCACATGTATTTTGTGGCTTTATTTTGGAAAATAAAATGTGTGCAATGAAATGATATACTTAGTAATTAGGAGTCATCATTACTCTGTGGAGTAGAACCATGGAATATTTTCCTTTCTTTCCCTTCTCCCTCTCCTTCTCTTTGCTTATTAGAAGTTTTGCATGATTTTACCATTAACTTAAGTCACATCTGTAATAAAAACCACTTTGTAAATTAAGATTAAAAACATGAAGTCTACTGTAATATCAATACTCTGAGAGGCTGAGGCAGGAGGATCATCAAGTTGAGCCCATCCTAAGTGATTTACCAAGACCTTGTCTCAAAATAAAAATAAAAACGGGCTAGGGTTATAGCTTGGTGTGAAGGCTCTGGGTTCAATTCCTAGTACTATATGGCAAAACAAATAAAAAACAAACAAAATGCCATGAAGTCTAAAACCACAGTGCATGAATATAATGAGTGCCTAGAAATGGAGCGCTGGGCAAGGTATAGTCAGGGGACGGGGGTGGAAGTCTGTGGCAGGTGGCACAGAATGGCAATCATTGGCCACACTGAGCATGGTTGGCAGAAAGAGTTCTGTTCCTGCATTTAAGAGTCTTTTGCAACCTTGGGATTCCCAGGTTTGGAAGCCAGGACTTCCAGTGTGGCAGGGGTCTAATTACACAGCACTCCTCCCATCCCCTTCACCACTGTTCCAAGTTCTGGCTGAGCATGGTCCTGGTTTCCAGCTAGGTGGGGGCATGGCCTAGGGAAGCCCAGTGGAGCTGGCTGGCTGGGCCAGGTGAATGCTGCCACCCCACTGTGCCCTCCTGCCCTCTGTTCCCAGGGCTCTGCGCACACAGAGGGAGGGGACGCAGCTACTTGGGACCACAGGATGCAAAGCAAGGACTAAGGAGTCAGACCTGGGTGTTGCTGAGCCATGCGGCAGCCCCAGTGGATCAATTACCCTGATTGTCTGGCTTGTAGACAACTGTTGAACCAGTCTCCGATCAGCAGTAATATGCAGATGCTTCTCCTGGACTGCAGTGGGTCACATGCTGATAAGGCCCTTGTGAGTTGAACGCAGCTTGAGTGGAAAATGTGTTTAATGCACCTCCTTTCTTGGAGACTCCAGCTTAGCAACGCCACCCAGTGTGTAGCATCAGCCGCTTGGCCTGTGGCTGGGAAGTTCACTCCCGGCTGCTGGATTTCAGAGGATTGGCTGTGCATGAGCCAGCTGGGAAAAGAACAAAATTCAAATTTGAAGTCTGATTCCCACTGAGTGCAATCGCTTCTGCTCCACGGTGCAGCTGAACTGTGGAGGCTGGGGCTGTCTGCATGATCTCAGTACACTTTTATACAATGCTGTGTAATTGTTTAATACATAATGGCAGTACAGTCTTATGATACACAGATAATAGAGAGATATCTTGATAGAGAGATGGACAGATAGGCAGGCAGAGGCCCCACCCTGTTGCCCACTCTCTCCTGGGCCTCTGCAGGAATGAAGTGCCCACCTGGCCTTGTCTCTAACTCAGTGCTGCGCTCTGAGGGGCTCCAGGCACAGCTGTAACTTCTCAGTTCTCCTGAAACCCAGGTGGAAGCTCCTCACTTAGCAGATCCTCTAAGGAACAGAGTCTTTTAACACCCCTGTAAGCAGGTAATTTTTTTATCGTGGCAATTTTGGTAAAATTTAGGAACTGAAATTTAAATAACAGGGCATGAGAATGGGGGCTGTCTTGGAGTCAGGCCCATGGGCCCTGGGAGGCTCCTGTGTGTGCAGGGCCCAGCGGGCTCTGCTTTCTCTGATGCCCCACACCCTGTCCCTTTATGAAAGGTGTCTTAGAAGAGTAGATGTCTCCGGTTACATCACAGATGTCACTGTGATGACAGGGCAGGGAAAGAGGACTAAGGATGCGTCTTAGCAGAGGTGTGGAAATATAGTGCCATATTCTGTGTGTTTTATTCAAGGGGCCATGTGGCTGGACCACGTGCTGGTGTTTGATCTTGATGGTTTTGCCTGGTGAGTCACAGCCAGGAGGAAGGGTGATTCATTGTTGTGGATGTGTCTCAGGGATGTCAGAAACCTCTGGTGACTCCTGACAGTGAGGCAACAGCAGGCGACCTCAGAACTGGTCTCGGCTGTCCACCCCTCCAGGGTTTGATCTGTCTTCCAGGAAAAGTTGGCAGAGTGAGATTGAGAGCTGGCCTCTCTAACACTGTGACAGAACAGCGGGGAGCTCAGCAGGTCCAGAGCTGTTCCCGACATGACTTGTGTGTTCACCATCAGAACACACATGTCACCATCAGATGCACGTGGAGCCCCTTGGTGTCTGCTTGGCTCTGGGTCCAGGTGGGGCCAGCGGTGCTCACTAGGAGCCCAGGATCAGTAGGACTTCTTTGGATCGCTCTGTAGCTCTTCATGGGTCCTCTTTCCAACGATTTTGGAAGACAGTTCACAGTGTTCCGGTACCATTGCCATGAGTGCATAACCACGATTCAGTGCATGTGACTGTAACGAAGATGGTATTAACAATTGTTCTCTTTTCAAACATTAACTCATTTACTACTCAGACCCATCTAGTGAAGTCACTGTCATTTTTATCCCCATTTGACAAATAAGGGAACTGGGCCGAAGTCTACCACTTGCCCAAGGTCAAACCACTGGGAAGTGGTGTAGCCAGGGCTGGAACCCTGCTGTTTAACATTAGATGGGGTGTCCTTAACTCTGGAACTTGGGGTTGTATTCCTGATAGGAAGTGATCGAGGAAGCTACAGCTTACCCTTAAAAGTTGTTGCTGAGTGCATTGGCATCAAAAGCTGCTGTGAGTTTCTAAACAGAGGGGGATCGGGAGCCCATCATGAAGCCTCGAACTTCTTGCCAGGATTTGGGATCAAGGAAGAACCCCCCCCCCCATAGCCCCTAGGTTGTTGGCCCACTTTCCCCAGGTTCCCTCCCAAACCCCTGCCCAGCCCAGTTACTGCACAGAGCACACAGGCCAAGGCAGTGTACTCTGGGCTTTTGCTCCAAAAGTCTCTTCTAGGAGGTTATGGCAGTGCCTGCCTGTGATCCCAGCACTTTTGGAGGCTGAGGCAGGAGGTTTGCAAATTGAAGCCCAGCCTGGGAAATTTAGTGCCTTAGTGAGACTTCGTCTCAAAATAAAAAATAAAAAAGGTCTGGGAACACAGCTCACCATTACTTCAAGCAGATTCTTCCTGGAGCATGCAGATTGGAGCACCAGGTCTGGCTCAGTGTGTTGAGGTGATGGCTCTGGAGCCCTCAGGGAAGCTGAGCCTGGCCCAGGGCTGCTTGGAGTTTTATTCTAGTCCTTTCCAGCCTTTTACATACAACTTTCTCCTTGCTGGGGAGCTGATCTCTGTGGACCACCATGGTCACGCTCCCTGGAAGGAGTTGTCAGGGAGGGCCGACTCTGCCTCTGCCTCTGTGATTCTGGTTGAGTCTGTCTCAGTCCTTCTCTTCTGAAATCCACTCTCCCTCCTGAGCCTGAGTCTCTTTGGCAGCCCCTCTGTGCCTCCCTTAATGGCTCCAGACTGCTGCAGTCTCTGGGTCTCTGGGCCTCCCAGCTCTGGTTCACTGTCCACAGGGCTACGGGCCACAGCTCCATCCTTGTTGGAGCCCTGGGGTGAACTCTGCCTTCCTGAGACCCTGACCAACCCCGGTCCTTCCTCCGAAGCTGTCTTCCCAATCACATTGGCAGGTTCCCTACTCACATACCACCCAGTCCCGCTGACAGGAAGGTGAGACAGCTTTCCAAGTGCTGGAATTACCATGAAGTTGTGGCCCACCCAGTGCTTGGAAGGTGCCATGTTGGTTGGCTCCCTCTTATGCTCCCACTCCATGAGTTTCCTGGTAACAGGGGCACATAGTGGCAACAGGCACGTGGAAGATATAATAAAGACCACTCCCCCATCCACAACCACTACATGAGTCACAGAATCATTTTTTCTTCTCAAAATGTCCTTGTGATCAGGGATGCACTGGTGATCTGTGAGCCTCAGTATAGAGGGGTCTCTAGGACAAGATCTGAGACAAACATGCATTACTCAGCTGTCTGGACCTGTGACAGAACACTGGAGATAAACCATTTTAAGAGGAAAGATGTATTCTGCTCACGGTTTCAGAGGGCTCAGTCCATGGTGGGTAACCCTCTGCTTCTGGGGCCTGGGAGATAGAACCTCCTGGGGGTGGGGAGTGCATTGTGAGGCTAGGCTGCTTACTTCATGGTGGCCAGGAAGCAGAGAGAGACCGTAAGGGGCCAGTTACATCCCACCTTACAAAGGTTTCACCCCTTCCCAGGAGTTCCACAAGCTGGGACTGAGCTCCCACATAGGGGCTTTTGGGGACACTTCAGACCCAAACTGCAGAAAAGTACTTCATGAATGAAAGAGTGAATAAATGAAGGAGAAGATGAGAGACAGCTGGTAAGAGGTGGCTCCATCCTAAGCCACTGAACAAATACATGTAACCCATCGACAGCCTGATCCTTAGGACTCTAACCCAGAGCTGTCCTCCTCTCAGCAATGCATGGGCCCAGTTCTCTCTGACACACTCCCTCTGGGCCGGTCCCTGGTCTGGAGGACAAGGGGCCTTTGAACACTTCCTTCAACTGCTGCACAGAGGCTAGGTTCCCGACAGCCTGCCTGACACACTCCTCACCAAACCACACGGGCTGTTTTCCTCTGCCCCTGCTTGGACCACTTGGCTCTTCTTGACTCAGACACTGCTGATCCCCTGCCTGGGACCCGCACCCACCTGCTCCCCAGTGCCAAGTACTGTGAGGCACGCAGCTGTGTTTGGAAAGGCCTGGGCACCTTGAGCTTTGGCCCATACTCCCAGACAGGAGGCTTGGTGTGAGGCTTCAAGCCCTCAGTGTGGCTTAGAGATGGTGGGTTTCTGTGGTGGGTGGGTGTGGGACAAAATTGGCAGGAAGCAGAAATGCAAGTGTGGAGATGAAGCCCTTGTGCTCGGCAAGCCTGGCTTAGCATGAACCAAAGCTCAGGTAGCTGGTGGTGGCAGATCTCTGAGGACAGACACACACCAGCCACTTTCACCCTCCCTCCACCTCCTCTCCTTTATTCAATAAGCCAGCAACTCACTGGGGCATGAAAAAGTAAACAGAATATAAATAAGCAGTGGAATTTGAAGGAGGATTTTAAAGCTAGGAACCTGAAGGGGGGTGAGGGGAACTGCAGAAACAGGGTAAACACGAAGGCAAACATTTTACACCAAAATAGCCAGAATCTTGCAGCTGTGAACCTCACTGCTGGTAAAGAGGCTAAAGTGGATTAAATTGACCAAAACTGGGTTTGGAGATAGCAAGGAATTTTGTTTTTTATTATTTCTCTTCACAAAGGTGTGATAGAAGGTCAGACTGTCAGAATAAGCATTTGAAGCTTTTCTCTCTGCTACTTGTTTCTGGACCATGCATTGAACATTAGGTATGAAATGTGTGTTTCTCAGTTATAGGTAGAATATTTCTTTTCTTGTTGAACCATGATAGTAAAAATGATTAGTGGAGTTGAAATCTGTAGCAATGCACAGAGCGCTGGCTACAGTGTTTAGGAGAGCTAAAATATGCAATAATTGATTTTAACATGTGCTGTAATGGGTTCCATACGCGTGGCTGTCAGCTGCTATGCGTCATAATTAAACTGACATGTTCAGAAACTGGCCACTGCCATGAGCACTCAGTGAACATTCCCACTGTGCACAGCTTGCTGCTATGCACTCCCTCGCTCCCAATCAGGACCCGCCTTGCTGGGTTTTATTTGCGGCTGGTCTCCTCCACATTTTATCTATTTACCCCTCACATCTTAAATGACCTCCTGGAAAGGATTCAGCCTCTTTCTGCACCTCCATTTTCACATAGTCACATATTTTAGCGGGGATAGGTCTATATGCAATTTCCTAAGTTGTCATAAATCAGATCTCAAATCGTGAGAATGGTCAAGAATGGGATATAAAATAAGACACAGCAGCAGATACATAAAAGTCCCATAATTGAATGCCCCATCCCACCCTCAGCTGAACCACATTTGAACTCTAGTTGGGACATCCACATGGAGGAAGAAAGCACCCATTGTATGAGCCACGATGTCCCCACACCTGATGCCTGGCCACCTTCTTTCCCCTTACCTCTGTGTTCATCAAAGTGCTGTGGGTGTCCAGGACAGTCTACCTTGATAGTCCTGCCGTGTTTCTTCTTTTTTTCTTAAAAGTGCCAGGGCAGAGTTGAAGGCAGATTGATCTAGGGCCTGGGGGTCTTGGAATCTAGTCCCACCTCTGTTATTTTTTTTTCAAAAACTTTTTTGTTTCTTATTAGGGGATATTACTTTTATAAAATATTAGATCTAGTTGTGTGTAACACTGTCATATGTAACATATTTTAATGACGTCTATCTCCCACTGCCCTCCCTTACACCTCCCTCCCCTTACTCCTTTCCTCTTATCTAATAGTACTCTTCCTCTTAATTTCAGGTCATCTTTTCGTTGTAGATTTTGCATATTAAGGAAAATACATGATACTTCTATTTGCCTGCAAATGATAGTTTTGTTCTTTGCAGCTGAATAATACTCCTTTGTGTACACGTACTATATTTTCTTTACATAATCATCTATGGGTGAGCACCTAGGTTGATTCTGGAACTTGGTTGTTGTGAATTGTGCTGCAATAAACATGGGTATGTAGCATTCCCAGAGTATGCTAACTTTAATTCCTTTGGGTGTACACCAAGGAGTGTGTCTTAGTTACTTTTCTTGTTGCTGGGCCAAAATAC